AAATAACTTAATTAAGTTGTCTCCAAGATAATTTGCAATTTCGGATAAAAAGTCAACAATTTAATTTGTTTATACACAGAACAAAACTGGTTTTAACAAAACATCCAAACTGTGCTTTTTTGATATTTGTACTAATAGTGATGGTTTACAAAGGTTTGATAAAGTTCATCTTGAAAAACAGTGATTGTACGTGTTAGCATCCTTTCAGTTTCCCTGGTGACACCCGTCCACATCAGGCTACAATTTAGATTCACCTTACTAGAAGAACACAAACTAAATGGATGCTGACTAACAAGAGCAGCTCAGGGTCAAACCACATATCCAAGCAACAACAACAACAACAAAAAAAGAAACATCCATCAGTTTAGCATCATCAGCTGCTCAGAGTTAGTGCGTTATTACCTTTGGCAACCTGGACACCGTCCTTTGTAATCGTCCACTCCACAACGATGCCAACGCCACCCCAGTTGACAAGCGTGACCTCAAGACTCTTATTGGCCACTACGAGATGTGGACAGTGCAGCTCAAGTTTGGAGGGAAGCGTCACGCTCACTTGTGTGCGATTAGCCACCTGAAAACACAGAAAAGTACCACAAAAATGCTTTGAAAGCAGCTATTTTTACCGTCTAAAAACGTGTAAATATGTGTGACATGTTGAAATGTGGGAAAGACTAATTAATTAACTGAGAAATTTTGCTTCTTACCTCTTTGTGTCCCGCCCAGGCCATCAAACTGACTGCATAATGCCCTGGAAGCCCGTATTTGTGAGCTGCCGTGGCGGTACCCGTAGCCGTGGCGTTGACCCGGGACGAAAGGTCACCAAAGTCCCAGGACAGCGTGACGGGCGTGACGGAGGCGGCGGCAGAGAAAAGGATTTGGTCGTGAACGCTTTGCAGTGGGAGAGGTTTCACTGAGATAGAGAACTCCACCGCAAACACGTCCTGAGCCAAAGTCCACCCACAATCCTGTCGATGGAAGGAAAGTATGTGAGGGAGGCGAGGTTTTGGTGTTAATATGGACTCATATTTAAAAGTAAAATGAAACTGGTTTCCTGTTATTTGTGGAGATATTTGTGGCTTCACTACTATTTTCGTGGCTTCAAATAAAACCTAAATGAAACATGTGAAGTGAATAAATTCTAAAATAAACAGTTCTTAATTTTTACTGTGAAGTTTTGGATAACTCTTTTTGCGCTGCACTCTTTAAGAAAACTAAATCGGAGAGTTCTGGGAAGCCACAAAGGAAAGAGAGGAGCTGAAAGACGCCACTGAGGAGGATGTCTCAGTTAGAAGCTGCTCTTTATGACAGCAACATAAAATGTTTACTCAAAGCATTAAAAGCCATAAATTGACTTTTATCTGGACTAAAAGTCTTAGAGTGAGTGACACATACTGTCATTACGTTGGGGTCGGTACAGGCAGCCGAGTACTGAGAGCCGCTGATGAAGTTGGGCTCGTTGTTTGTGCTGCAGAGACACTCGTGACTGTTTCCCAAGCCGCCGTAGAGGTGCGATAAACCAAAGCACAGACTGTTGCACTGTTGGCGCGTGAAGTTTCCAGGGCTGGAGAACGTAAAGATCACAAGCTCACTTCGTCCTCCTCCAGTGCTGCTGTCTTCAAGACATCCTGCGTAGCTCAGACCTGAAGCGCGGACAGAGGGTTTAAGAGGTTAGACTTGAAAAGTTTATTTCCTTAACGTACTGTCAGTCACAACTCCTGCAGAAAAATGTTCTTTAGTTAGAGTTTTAAAGATAAGGCAAGCACCTATTTTTAAGTGTCACTGAGCAAACGAATAACTTTCGAACATAATGCAATTTCAGTGGTGTGAAAGTAAATCAAAGTGTGCATTTGGGCTGGGGATTATCTGATCGTGATTATTGATCGAGAAAAGTTTCAGATCGATTACGGTGATCAGCTGTGAGCCTCTGTACTTAATCAAACATGGCGGAAATGTGTGTGACAACAGCCAATCAGAATCAATTTCCCGCTCCACTTCCATTTCTAAGTTGCTAAGGAAACGCGGACGGAATCACAAACAAAATGTAATTCAGTATAAAACTCTAAATCTCACAGAATTTGCTAATTTGGGCAAGTTTCTGAGGTATTGTGGCCGCTGCCGCTCCCCGTACCTGCCGTTAGCTGCTAACAGGCGTGCAGTGTGAGCCCTGAGCTCCCCTCCATTCATGTGTGCGAAAGTGAGTGAAAAGTGAGCCGCGATGCACGATGAAACAGACTAATTTAAAACAGAAACGTCCTCAAAAAATAGGAAGCGGTCTCAGGGTAACATTTAGGTCAGAACAATGTCCCAGCAGTTCTTTTATCTGGAGAAGAACTTTTCTGTAAGTTTTGTCAGCACACGATGGGCTGGATGTGTAAGAACAAAATAAAAGTAAATGAATAAAAAGAAAAGTAAATAATGAGCTTAGTTCTTATTCAAGAGGCAAGTGTGCACAAATTGTTGCTGTTTGTAGGGTTTATGTTTCTTTATGGCAGGGGTCAACAATTCCGGTCCTCGAGGGCCGCAGCCCTGCATGTTTTACTTTTTTCCTGCTCCAACACACCTGATTCAGTCAGTGAATTACCTCTTCCAAGTTCTGCAGAAGCCTGATAATCATCTATTCATTCAAATCAGGTGTGTTGGAGCAGAGAAACAAGTAAAACATGCAGGGCTGCGGACCTCGAGGACCGTAATGATTATCCCTGCTTTATGGCATATTTAATCTGAATTTAAATTCTACAACTTTTATTTTACAAAAGGATAACTTTATTAATGTGAGACTCTATGATTTACACATAAATGTTTTTTTTTCTTGGTAAATATATTTAAACACCTTGTAAAAATAATTTAATGTTCTACTGAAGCACAACTATTTGTTATATTAGTGAAAGTGAAATAACAGCCATTATTATTTTTATTTTTGTAGCTATTTATTTGTTAAATTTTGTTTCAGTCACATTATGATTACACACTTTTTAGTTTAATAAAAAATCATGATAATAATCAAGATTGGATGATAAGAAAAAAACAAAACTATAATTTTTTGCCATATCAAACCAGCCCTACTGTGCATCCTCCACTGGTTCTGCCTATGAGACCAGTTTCAGTGAATTAATGCACAAAGCAAAGGTGCTTACTACATATCAAGCACAGAGTAAGGATGTGCTTCAAAACAGGATCTGTCTCATCCACATCTAGCTTTTTTTTCAAAGGAATGCACCTTTGTTTGTTGTTAATGTTACCTTTCAAAATCACCTCTTCCTAAATTTACTATGATCATACCTTCATCCACTTTGCAGACCAAATAAAGTTTTTTTATTTGATTTGATTTATTTATTTAACAGGAAAAGATTATTAAAAATCAAGCCTGACTCAGCATAATTGCTGTTTTACAGCAGGTTCCTGTTCTGCAGCACATAAACACTCAGAATTACAGCATCACAATCACATCATTATTATTACACCATAGACACAAAGACAAACAAGCATACCAAATTTCAAAAAGGCAGCATTTGCAAAATAGGACGTCTAAATATGAGCACAACAAAAAGTGTCCAGCAGATGGCAGACAAGATTCTTCTTAAAGGGCTGTAGTTTTGAAATGGACTTTATGTTTTGAGGAATGTCATTCCATGCTTTAGTATAAACATAGAAGAAAGACCTCTGGCCGTAACAGTTTTTAAAAGTTGGTAATATCGGTTGTCCTTTTGTAACAGATCTAKTTGAATGACCACTTCCAGAATTTAATTTGGGCAACAATGCACAGAGTGTTCCATAATTGGCACCTTGGAAGATCTGAAAATATAAATTAATACCACTATACAAAACATAATTCTGAAAAGTCAAGGCATCAGACAATGAAAGAACTGTACAGTGATGAGTCCAACAAGGAAGTTTTTTATGAATTTTGTAGGCCCTGTTGTAGAGCCTAACTATGGGTTCTAAGATTTCATTTGTTGTAAGAGACCAAACAGGTAAACAGTACGACATGGTTGAGAGTATAATGGCATGAAGATAGATATTTGAAACAGAAGATGTCAGATTGGATCTATTTTTTGAATAAACGTATAATTTCTGTTTCAACTTAGTGGTTAAGACTTGTACATGATCACGATAAKTCAAATGAGAATCCAAAGTAATTCCAAGATATTTGTAGGTAGTGACAATATCAAGGGGTTTGTTTAAAAAAGTGAGTTGATTTGTTATATTGAAATGTCTCCTGGGTGAGGAAAAATACATGCACACAGCTTTTTTAACATTAATTGACAAAAGATTATCTTGAAGCCAACCATGAAATGTCTGAAAATCAGCTTGTAACTGACTATTAATAGATTCAATATTGAAATCAGACAAAAAAGAACAGTACCATCAGCATACATTCTTGTATTTCAGTCAAATGTTAACAAAACAGATGTATCACAATCACAAAGAGATGTACATGAACCACACTTTACAGTGCAAAGAAAGTATCACTCAGGCCAAATCTAACTGCTTCACTGACATCATCAGTTCCAATGTAGGCAACACACAGTTTATTTTCTCTCTTCTTAACCGCGCAGTTTCACCTCCGAACTCCTGTAACTCGCTCATGTCATTCTTCACTGAAAAAATCCACTCCATACACCAACACCTCAGGCCAAACTCTGCCCCTAACATCTTTATAGAACTCCCACCCCCCTCTCTGTCTTCACTCTCCCCTCTGCTGCTGACGTATCTGCCATCATTAGGAAGTCCAAATCCTCCTCACAGCTACATCCCATCCCCACAGCTTTGGTTCAATCCTGTCTCCCCTCTCTGCTTCTTATCATCACTAACATCATCCACTCCTCTCTGACGACTGGTACTGTTCCCACAGCTTTTAAATCGGTTGTCATCACCCCCGTCATAAAGAAAACAGATCTAGATCCGACTAACTTCAATAACCTCCGTCCCATTTCTAATCTGCCCTTCAGCTCCAAAATTCTCGAAAAGGTCGTCGCTAATCAGCTTCACTCACACCTCTCCAGCGATAACCTCTTTGAACAGTTCCAATCAGGTTTTCGACTACATCACAGCACCGAAACTGCTCTTATTAAAATTAATAATCTTCTCCTTGCTGCTGATGATCCAGCAAAAAAAGAGGCAAAGCATAGATCCTAATTCAAGCAGAGATGATCAGCCTGATAGGAATCAGGTGTGAACTGAAGCTCAAACAGGAAGCAAAAACAACGAAGACAGATACAGAAAATAGCCCTATAAACATGAAACAGGTCCAAAAAAGCAGAATCAAAATAACTGAATAGGTAAAAAACAAGAAACAATCCCGTCTCACACATTCACACACCCCCACAGCTTGAAAACTAAAAGAGACTAAGCAGTTCACCTTTACAGTGCATTTTTAAATGTCTAGTATTTATTTCCATAAAATAAGCTTATACCCAAACTATTTTTTTACATGCTGTACAAGGTCTAAGACAAGATTTTCTGTAAGCACTGAGACTTACATCATGTGTTGGATTTCTTACCGCAGGTGAGCAAGCTAACATTGAGCAAAGGCTGGTGGCGAAGTTCAAGGGGGTGGTTACAGAGCATGGCGTGGGGGCGTCTAACTTGCACCCCTTTCTCCTGGAGCCACCTCACCAACCGGAACAGCTTGCAGTCGCATTCAAAGGGGTTGCCGCTCAGATCACTGGAGGAGAAAAGGACATGGCTGAAGTGACAGAATGCTCGAACAACAAATGCACTGCTGAGCTATGTGGAAGCTAGCACAGCTAAATATAGCTGCACTGATCTTCATCCCTGTGGACTCCACGGCGAGTCATCGTCCTCCATCTCACTCTGTCCTCAGTCCAACTACCTCCATGTTCAGTGGTGGGCACCAGCCCGCTAAAGCGCAAATCTGCTAATTGCGGACCTAAATATTTTGTTTGCGCTTTAGCGGTCTTACCAATTTTTATAAATCATAAGTGGATTTGCGCTTTCTAATATTAAAATGCAGTACCGCTATAAGTAATTATCTACCTGTCATCACTATCTTGAACAGTGGGAGGTATGGCTGTCAATGAATCACAACGCACGTGATCTGTCCAACAGCACCCCTCCCAGATAAACACACTTTTTGTGAAGGTATACATCCTTACTGACTGTTGCTTTCAGTCACGGTTCTGATTTCCCACAATGCTTTGTGTCTGTTTACGTAGCAACTCCCTGTCCCAGCTAAAACAGTTAATGTTTGCAATGCATACTAAACTTTTGTATGTATTGATTTATTTTACTTTACAATCGGAGCTCCTTTTATAAAAAAAGAAAGTTTAAATGCTGGAGCTCAATACTTGACATAATTGGTCGAAGCAATCGGCCAACGGGTTTAGAGACGCAGAAATTATTTAAATATGTTATGCTGATTAAGACAGACATATAGTGGTCAACTAGAGCAACTACATGGAAAACTTTAAAATCCAAGCTCTTATTTTGAAGTTCGCAGATAGTTTCCTGTACTCCGTGCTTTTGTTTCCCGTCACAAATCAAATCCGTCATGTACCCAGAATGCATCGCTACAGTTTTCCAATAAACAGTTTTAAAATTACTTTATTGATGCTTCTTTAATGAAAAATCTACAACAAACAAAAGTAAAAGACAAAGAAGCAGCCGAACTAGCAATCCTCAACAACTTTTAAAGAAGCAGCCAAACTAGCAATCCTCAACAACTTTTTTAATTTTTACACCAGGAGATAAAGGTCTGTTGCAGGAAATCACATCCCCAGCAATCGGCGGTTGAAGGATTAAGCTGTAAAAGGGTTCATACACCACTAGTTGGCAGTGTTGTGCATATATTGTACATGAATTGTTGCCAGCTAGTAAGTGTCAAATTGAACTTGCGCTTTAAAATTATCTTCCGCTAGTTTTTCTGTGGCATTGGCGCTTTTGAAGTTGCGGACCTAAATATTTTCATAAGTGCCTCAGAAATTGCGTAGCTAATTTCTGGATTAGCGCTGCCCACCACTGTCCGTGTCCTTTAACTGCATCCATTTACCTCCTCTTTGCAACATTCTTCTACCAATACACCCACTATCCCTCCTCTGGACATGTCCAAACCATCCTCTCTAACTTTATCTCCCAGTCCTTCAACCTGTGCTGTACCTCTGATGAGCTCATTCCTAATCATCTCCATCCTTGTCACTTCCAAGGAGAACCTCGACATCTTCAGCTCTGACACTTCCAGTTCTGTCTCCTGTCTTTTTGTCAAAGTCTCTGTCTCCAAACCATACGGCATAGCTGGTCTCATGTGCTCTGTTTTTTGCTTTTCCTTTAACCTTTGTTGCTACCCTTTTGTCTCAAATCACTACAGAAACTTTTCTCCATCCTGCCTGGACTCTTTTCTTCCACTCTTTATCACACTCCATGTTTTTTCTGGACAGTCGATCCAAAGTACCTGTAGGACTTCTGCTTCTTGTAGCCTCACTGTCCCATCTGCCTCCTTCTCACACATGCACTCTGTTTACTGTATGTGGCTACACTGATACTAATTAATAAATGATCCTGAATAATTGTAAATAAATAATAAAAGCAATATAGAAATTGTTCAAGCTGAAAAATAAAATAAAATAAAAGAGCTGTAAACAATTAAAGGAAAGTAAGAAGTAAGAATTTGAATGACAAACAAAAAGATTCATGTGAATGACTGACAGGCAGAATAAAACAACAGGATTCTGTAAAACATGTCTGGTACAGATTATCAGCTACTCGTTTAGATTGATTTATTTCATAATTTTATATAGTTCCACTTTTTTGTAAGACAAAAAAAAATCAAAGTTCAAAAAAATGAAAATAGAGTTACCACTTACATTTTTGTTAAATTACAAAGGTTGTCACATATCCTTTCTTCTATGGTGGTAATTTGGTTGTTGCTCAAATCACTGGTGGCAGAAACAAACAGAGAAATTGCTGTACAGTTGACATTGAAACAAAAACAAGTCATTTTCTTTTGATTTTTGACAGCACTGAAATGAATTATTGATTTAAATACAGTTAAGTTTGGATTCCGGCATTGATTACTTTTCTTCTTTTTTGGTCACAGAGTGAAAAATCTTACAGACAGTAAAATGTTGTTTGATAGATTAAAATTTAAAATGGAATTTCTGCTTTAGAATACAGTTCTACATTGATGCAAAATGACTTTTATATTTGTATTTCATCAAGTCAATGGAATTATTGCTTTAGATTAAATGATGTATATGCTGAACAGACTATCTGAAGTAGTTTACAAACAAAACCTAATCTCAACCCATTCTTCCCACTGAAACTGAGGCTGTATTTTCCTGTTTCCATCTATCTACAACATTTCTCTCCGTGCCTCCTTTTCTTTTCTCTCCTTTCCTCCTTTCACCCTGTTCAGTCTTTTCCTTCTCCACTTAAAACTCCTCCCCTCGCTGAAGCTAAATAATGGGGCCGTTGTGTGGTGGTTTGGACAGAACTGATGGAAACCATCAGTCTGCACACACACACACACACACACACACACACACACACACACACACACACACACACAC